TTTTGTCTAATCGTGTAAAATTATTAAAGTTGTGCATTTTGAACAAGTACTACAGACAAAGTTACTCACACATGTAGAGTTTTTATTATTGCCTAATCAACATGTGCACAGGTGTAATCCTCATCATCTTCAGTTTTGGGCCATTGTCTGCAAATAAATCACAGTTAAAAAACAAATATGATAAAGCAAATTCCTATGGCTATTTTTCCACAAAAAGTCAGCTGATCAGTGATATTTTTTTTAATACAGCTAAGCAGGAAGTATCTCACTTGGCTGATCCAGGGGATGTATGAGGCAACCCGGGTGAAGACGGTGGGCTTCTGGGGGGTGTTACAGCCCCGTCCATACACAAAGCTGGTCACTCCTTGGACATACCATCTTCCGTCCCTCCCCTTGCAGTTCAGAGGCCCTCCAGAGTCCCCCTTGAAGAAAAACAAGCGTGAGCCATAAAAATGAAGAAAAACAAGTGTGAGCCATCTATCCACACGCCATGTTTTTTTCTGGGAATTCTTCCCCACATAGGAAAACATGGCGTGTGGATAGATGTTGAATTGAAACGCTGTGTACGTCTTATAGTGTGTTTTACATGGCAGGCCGACTTGCTGTCCCCTCCAGCACAGACCATTGTAGTCTTCACTGAACTTCCCCACCAGTCACTGCGAGCACAAATGCTGGGCTCCACTACAGGAAGTAGAGCCTGCTGCAGTGTGGTGGCCCGGGGCCCACCAGCTATGAGAGAGAGGGTTAGACAAACACAACATTTTTGCTACGACCTGTAGTTACAACCATAGCTTATTCCAAATCTGTATTCCCACACCCCATCTGGGATTAATAAAGTACCATCTTATCTGAAATTCTTGTAATGAGTACAAATATTGCTTGAAGATATAGTATTACAATAGAAGTTACTTCAATCACGTTAAAGCGCATAGAAAATAATAAATCAAAAAATAAATCAAACACAAAACAAAAAAAGCTGTTTCATCGTTGCAGGCGTGTGTGTGTGTGTGTGTGTGTGTGTGTGTGTGTGTGTGTGTGTGTGTGTGTGTGTGTGAGCAGGTTACTTACAGGAGAGTCGACCCCAGCCAGTGACGTAACAGGGCTGGTTGTTGGCAAGCTCAGCTCCTTGCTGTGGCAGGCATGCCAGCTGGACTTTGTCATTGAGAACTGCACTCTTCTCTAGTTTCAGAAGGGCAATGTCATTTCTAATGGGGACAGCGAGATTAAAAAATTAAATGTTTTAAGTATGGATAACTGTTCAACTATAATACTATATGTCATGCATGTGTACATGTGTCATACAGTTGGAGTGCTATCGATTTCCATTCTAAAGATAGAGCAACCCCCATCTGTTCAGCTGCCTCTCTAGGAAATATTCACAGGCCAGGCAGTTCTTGAGTTGAATGTTTACGCACATTCCTCTTACTACCCATATCAGTAGACAAAGTGTCCTAATTCCTAACCATAGACCTGACACCTGTGTTAAAATGCTCAAGCCTCAATGAGCATTGATTCTCCTGCTGAAAATGTTCAAGCAGCCACCATTCAATGTATAGAGCAAGTTCCAGCCTACCCACAAGACACACAGTTGTCATTCCATTTAGGATGTAGGATCATTTTCTCCACCCTGATGGACTGTTCTGGTCCCTCCTGCGTGTCCATGTCGTGCTCCGCAAGAACCACCCGGTAGGTGTGGAACCTGGGCACAAATAGGTCAACCCACCAGTGACCGCCATTGTTATTTTCTGCCAAAATGTAGACGATAGATTTTTTTTTTTTTTTAGATTAGATTCAACTTTATTGTCACTAGCAGAGTACAGGTACAGAACCAATGAAATGCAGTTGACGTCTGACCCGAAGTGCAAAAGAAGCATTTAAATACCAAAGATAAGGATTAAATAGATGCTGCCTCACGTGATGCAGTGTGCAGCCGTTAAGACCCAGTTGGCAGCGATGAGGGTTCCCCCGCACGTGGGGTAGAAGGACTCCAGAGAGACCTAGTTTTCAAAGGACACCTTTAGCAATATTGTGCTGCAGTAGTTAACTCATTTTATGACATTATATAATTATATATCTTTTGGGCATGCAAAGGGATTTGTTTAATGCATCTGATTCTGCAGTTTCCAACTCTGATTAAGTATTACTTGCTTCTGTTGTTGGAAGGACAAATAAATACAATATGGTTTAAGAAAAATATATGCATCTTAATACGGTTATAGTGTATAATAGCATATTGCCCAATGGTGTGATGGGGTATATATAGCGTATAATGACCAATGGCTTTCCAAGAAATAAACAACCACGAACAATCCCCATGACACTAAAGGATCATCATGACCCATACCTGCCATGGCCAGCTATAGGGACGAGCCTCTTCCCCATTCACCACACGGCTGGTCCTAGGCTGGTAGCTCGGTATGCCACAGCCAGACACTACAAAGCAGTAGAAATGTTTAAAAAAAAGTAATTAAAAAGTAATAAAAAATACTAATCTGTAACGGTTCTCCAATGTGATGTGTTAGACTTACCAGTCGTGACTGCCAGCAAGAAGACAAGTGCCAGTTCCATCTCTGATGTATCCAAAATAATAGGTTTGCCTTTTGGCTATTTATAGACCAGCGCAGAACCAGCATGGGATCTTTCCTACCGTTCTCCAGGTGTTGAAAATATTGCAGACATAAGCATATATATATATATATATATATATATATATATATATATATATATATATATATATATATATATATTCCAGTAGGCCTATTGGTAAGACCCCACTATTGGTAACACCCCATTACACAGTTCAAGTGCAGAACTGCATCCTCCGCGCCGACAGGGGGCGGTGCAAGAAGTCGTGGGGCGCGTCGTCGCATCAACAGAACCGCAAAACCACAGAGTAAATTTGTAGTTTCAAAGATGGCGCTACCCGGTGTCTTACTCGTGCGTCTGAGAGCCGCCTGCCACCTTGGGAAATACGCAGACAGGAGCGGCAAAGTGGGACTAAACGTCGCGGAGGCGCGGTGGTACAAGACAAACCCCCGGTCCCTGCGGGACGCCGCGCCGCCCGTTAAACCGGGTGAGTGTCACGGCCCAACACGTCCGGGTTTAGCCGGGAAACACGACCTCAAGGGCATCATGTTGTCATGAGGATGATGAGGGTGATGATGGTGATGATGTCGTTACGCATGTCTGTTACTCTCATTTATAACGCAACGTATTCGTCTGACTTTGTCATTTTTTTAAATGTATTTTTTATTTTATTTTTATTTTTTTATAAGGTAACTCGCATCTTCTTAAAGAGTACCGCGACCCGAAAGGCCTGCTGTACAACACCATCTCCCGTTCACTGGGAGTGAATGACCTGTCCCAGTTGATCCAGTACAGCTGTACGGACCATGGAGATGTCAAGGTATGGTGACAGACTGACAGACCTGGTGACAGCCAGACAGACTGACAGACAGACAGACTGACAGACCTGCTGACAGCCAGACAAACAGACAGACAAACAGACACTTTCCACAACAGTCTACTCCCCAGACATACCTCTTGGTTCCAAGGTATGGTGACAGACAGACAGACAGACAGACAGACGGACACTGTCCACAGCAGTCTACTGCCCAGACATATCTCTTGGTTCCCTGAACCCCCCCCCACTGGTTTTATGTTGAAGCGAGAACAACAACACTGCACCCTCTATAGTTTAATGTGTTTTGTAACCCGCAGAGGGCCACGGTCACGCTGGAGTGGCCCAGCAAAATGGAGATGGAGGGCTTCGCCTCCAGGAAGATCGATGCCGAACGATTCGCTGCAGCCGCTGCCTGTCACAGATTGAAAGTAAGTCCTGTTAACTCGGTGCGAATGCGACCAAGTTCAAATGCAAATGCAAGTGACACAGCTGGCTTTCATTCAAACACTCGGCGCGTCGCCTCTTTTTCCCCCCTCTCTCTTCCTGTGTGTAGGAAATGGGTGTGATCGGTCCTGATAATGAGTTGCCGAGCAGGAGATCCGGTCGGGTCAGGGGGGTGTCGCAGTTGTACGAAGTGGAGGACGCTTACACAAGCGATGTCCGTGCCGCCGCTGTCGCCCATGAATCGAACGAAGCGCCCTGGCCCTCCGCTCCCTCGGGAGGCTCCTCCTCCTCCCCGCCCTACTCCGAAGCGCTCGAGTTGTTTCCACGGCCCAAGGAGCTGCTGGGCAGGGTCATCCAGGTGGCCACGTCCGCCAACAGTCCCAAGGTCAGCGGTGCTTACTTTACTTTGTCTATTCAATTACATTTTTGTACACAATGTATAACCCACTCAACTAGGGCAGGGCAATCAATCGATATTGTGATACGAGATATCCTCTTAGAGTTTGGATATCGTAATATCGTGATATGGCATAAGTGTTGTCTTTTCCTGGTCTTAAAGGCTGCATTACAGTGATGAATACTGAATGAAAATACTCATTCAGTATTTCATTTTTCATTTGTGCAGTATTTAATGCACACAGCAGGAATATACAAAAATAGGCTTTACCATGTGGTTATTTTATATAGACGATTTATTTATTTATTGAATTACCAGTAAAACATACAGTATATATCTAATATATATTGTTGAGATCAAAAATGACCTATCGGTATAGAAGATTTTGGCCTAGCCCTACACTCAACAGACGCATAGCACAAATAAACATATACCACAAACGTGGGGCGGGGAAAGACCATAACGTGACACATGAAGTATAACAAAATTAGAAAAAAAATAATGAATTCATGCTGTCCGTCACTTACTTACTGTGTCTGCTTTGCCTGCGCTCCTGTGATGCCAGGAGTGGATTCAGTACAGGACCATGGGAGGGAAGCTGAAGAGGTGTGAGCTGACCATACGGTGGCCGGAGGAGATCAAGGTCATGGCGACGGCCAGCAACAAAGTCACAGCGGAGAGGAGAGCTGCTGCGCTGGGCTGCATGAAACTGAAGGTGAGTTTTAAAATGGTGGGGAAAAAGGCAGTATATATGCAGTGGGGATAGTCTAGTGGTGGTAAGGGTGTTTGAGTCCCAGTCAAAAGGTACTGGGTTCCAGCCCCCAGACGCCGCAGTCTCCCTGTCGGCGTCCTTGAGCAAGAAGCCCAACCCATACCTGCTCTTTAATGACCTGTATCTTAAATACAACATACAAATGCAAAACACAATTTACTGCAAGTCGCTTTGGTCAAAAGCGTCTGCTAAATGGAGTTCAATATTGTTTTTTTTAAATTTCATGTGAAGAAGAGATAAAAAAAAACGTTTGTTGCACAGGAACTGGAGCTACTTGACCAGGACAACAATGCGCTGACTCACGCCAAGTACCACCGCAAGGAGGTGAAGGAGGCGGGGGAGCGGGACAGGAGGCCCGTCCAGCTGCACATCCCCGAGCATTTGGAGGAGAGCGTGAGGCAGTACCTCACACAGGTACTGTAAATCCCTCTCACCTGAAGCTACACTGTTCACCGGTTGTTGTTTTTTAAGCCTTTGGTAATCTCTGTACCTAAAAACAACAACAAGAAATGTCATCCATCTGTTCAGTATTTAATTGACTTGGTCTTTTTTTAGCTGTAAGACTCATGAGCTCTTGGTTTGTTTTTCTCTCTAGCTGCTGTATACTTTTATTCATTTTATTTGTATACCTTAATCTTGCTCAGTTCTCATTAGAATTCCTTGCAAGGGCAACGTAGGGTAAACTCTTTTTATGAATATAGTGATTCTAGGTGAAATGATGATGTACTTGTCAATGGCCACTTGCGTTACTCCCACCACCTAACTGTAACACATCACCACTGCATGACACAGTACCCAGTGGCGTCTGAGATGCAGAGACTGTTTGAGGAAGAGGAGCAAGCACAGAAGAAATTTGACCAAGAAGAACAAGAAGCAGTAAAAGAAGAAGAGGAGGACCTGGTGACGGACGCCATCACAGGCCGCCAGCGCCACCCGCTCTCTGCCCAACAGGAGCAGCAGCTCAGCAGAGACCTGTGGGACCGCTGGGAGCAGGCCAACCCAGGCCTGGGAGTGGAGTTGCCAGTGGACGGCCACCGGGAGCGCGTGGTCTCTGCAGTGGAGTCGTCCCGGGTGGTGGTGATCGCCGGCGAGACGGGCTGCGGCAAGACCACGCGCATCCCTCGCTTCCTGCTAGAGGGGCGCGTGCGGGGCGGCGAGGGCGCCACCTGCAACGTCCTCGTCACCCAGCCACGCCGCATCAGCGCCGTGTCCGTGGCCCAGCGTGTGGCCCAGGAGATGGGCCCTGTGCTCAAGAGCTCTGTCGGCTATCAGGTGAGGAAACACAAAACGCTTGTTTAAAAGTGGATTGGCTTTTTTGGATTTTGGATTATTATTTATTATGACCAAATTTCTTTTTCTTTTCTTTTTTTCCAAGGCTTTTTTGAAATAATACATAATAGCCTTTAAATTGCAGGCTACAGTTTGACTGGAACCAGCAAATTTGTCAAAATTATTTTTTATACGTCATATTATGTGTCTCAAAATTATCAATATGGATAATGTCATCAATAAATAAAATTAATTAAAAAATAAATGATAATTATCATGTCAGTTATTATATCCCTGAACTATTATCCTTGTACTGTTCAGTAGCATTTCTGTTGAATACCCTCGTATACATCTGCCATGATCCCACCTTCACACTGATCATCATCATCATCATCAATCATCATCATCCTCTCCACCACTGCTGCTGTGCCACTAGGTGCGCCTGGAGAGCCGTCCTCCGGAGCAAAGCGGCGGCGCCCTCCTCTTCCTCACGGTGGGGGTGCTGCTAAGAAAGCTGCAGGGCAACCCCAGCCTGCAGGGCGTCAGCCACGTGGTGGTGGATGAGGTCCACGAGCGGGACATCAACACGGACCTGCTGCTGGCGCTGCTGCGCTCGGCCCTCCGGGAGAACCCCGAGCTCCGCGTGGTGCTGATGAGCGCCACCGGCGACAACCAGCGGCTGGCCCAGTACTTCGGGGGCTGCCCTGTGGTCAAGGTGCCCGGCTTCATGCACCCGGTGCAGGACCTGTACCTGGAGGAGGTGTTCAGGGAGATGAGTCGGACACCGCGTCCTCCACAGAGGGGCGCCAAACCGCCGGGGAAGGTGAGGGGCTCTCGCAGGTTTAAAATGTACTTTTAGAATGTTGTCTTTTTCCCTGATTTTTTTTTTATTTTATTTTTTTACCTGCCATCATCAAATCTTTCAGCCACTGGCTTGTGGCAGGTGGTCATTTTGTATTTGTGCACAGGGTCCAAATATAAACCTTTTAAAATTGTGTTTTACCTACCAGAGTGGAAACAAGCAATTGTTTTTAATATGCAGCTACCTTTTTTTTTACCTGCCAAATGGTCAAATTTCTCAGCCATTGGCAGGTGTTAATTTTGGACCCCGTTTGTGTGTGCGTGTTGTTCATTTGACTTTGGTTTACTATTAAGTTACCGCATACCGCGTGGTTCAGATTGTATTGGATTTGTAATACTTCGTCCTAATTCTAATAACCTTTGGTGATTTGTGAAAGGAGGGAAAAGAGGAGGCCGCGCCAGACCTGGATCTGGTGGCTGATGTGATCGAACACATCGACAGACACGGAGAGCCAGGTAACCCCCCCGGCCAGAGGAACTAGTACCCGGTGCTCAGTTTTGAGATTTTGGACAGTTATTTTTGACATTATGTTTATCTACAAACTTGGTCTCATTTGTCGTGTGTGTGTGTTTTGCTCTCGTCATGGTCTCAGGTGCGGTGCTGTGTTTCCTGCCTGGCTGGCAGGACATCAAGGCGGTCCAGGAGAGGTTGGGGTCCAAGCCCCGCTTCGCCTCGGGGTCCCAGATGGTCGTGCCTTGTAAGAGAATACCAGGGGGAATTTTACCCATAGTCCAAACTTTTTCCACCTTTTTCTAATCATGCTTATGTGCTTTTTATCCCCCTTATTAAGTGCACTCCAGTTTATCAGTGGCAGACCAGCAAAGTGTGTTCCAGCGCCCCCCGATGGGCAGGAGGAAGATTGTCCTGGCCACCAACATTGCAGAGACGTCAATCACCATTGACGACATAGTTCACGTGGTGGACACAGGAACGCAGAAGGAGCAGAACTACGACCCACGCACTAAGGTGTGTGTGTGTGTGTGTGTGTGTGTGTGTGTGTGTGTGTGTGTGTGTGTGTGTGTGTGTGAGAGAGTGATCATCATTGTCAACGTGTTTCCTCCTGCGGTACCAGGTCTCGTGTCTGGACACGGTGTGGATCTCGCGCTCCAACGTCACGCAGCGCCGAGGGCGGGCCGGGCGCTGTCAGCCGGGGCACGCCTACCACCTGTTTCCACGGGAACACCTGGAGTCGATGTCCCACTTCCCCATCCCAGAGATCCTACGTACTCCACTAGAGAGCCTGGTGGTGCAGGCCAAAGTCCACAGTCCAAACCTAAAGGTAAAGAGAAAACTATAACTAACTACCTTGATCAGAAGAGAGGGAGGGTAGAGAGGGTTTTGTTGTGTTAAACTGCAGTAATGCGTTCTGTGAAATGAGCGTGTCACAGCCGAAAGTACAGGATCGTAATGAGAATCTAAAAGAGTGAAATAATTGGTAAGAACAAAAAATATACAGAAAATATATCTATATACATTATTGAAACCCCATTGGTGATGCATTGTGTCACCTCTGTTTGTGTGTCCTTCAGGCGGTAGATTTTCTGTCCCAGGTGTTGGACAGTCCAGAGAAAGATGCTGTGAAAGATGCCGTCCGAACCTTACAAGACATTGGTAGGTTTGACCCATGTCAATGTTTTGTTTTTCGTGACTCGTGTTTGTAAAGGCAAGTTGCATTCAAATAATATTTCACCACCACACACCACAACGTTGTAAATCAGCCATCTCTATAGTACATATGTTATGAATACAGAAAAAGGACAATTAAAATAAATAACAAGAAATAAAATCAAAACAAGAAACGCAAAAAATCTGAACCGAGGTTCAGTGTGAACAGGGCCTACAATTATGGATAAAACGTCCCACCCACCTCCCTTTTGAAATGAGTTGTATCCGACTAGTGACATCATCATGTCGAGCACATCAGCTCTTTTTCCCTCCATGTGTAGTCACGCTGTATTTTGTTCCATCTCCAAGGGGTTCTGGACAAAACGGAAACCCTAACTGCACTCGGGGAGCGTGTGGCTTGTCTGTCATGTGACCCACGGCTCGGCAAAGTGCTGGTGCTGGCGGCCATGTTCCGCTGCGTCCTGCCCATCCTGTCCGTGGTTGCATGTCTGACCCGGGACCCGTTCTACAACAGCATGCAGAACCGAGCTCTGGTCTCAAAGGTTAGCAATGCTAGGAGTTGTTGTTGTTATCAATTCATGCTACTTTGTCTTATTTGCTTACTTATTTTTCAAAAGGAACAAGGAACATTATGTCAAAATCCAAGTATTTGCAAATATGGGCAGTGATGGGTTCAATCATCTACTACTTCCGGAGGGAGTTCACAGGGTACACAATTATCACCAGCCAAGTGCTGGGAAAATATGCAAGTGGCTGGTAGATTTGCTTCCACCCGCCAAAAAAAACAATGGTGATCTATTCTATCCACTATTTGGCCGGTGGACAAAAAAAGTGCAGAAAAGCCACCTCCCAACCACGTACACCAGGTCATAGAGTGCGTTGCGCAATGGTGTTCCAGTTACTCTCACCCATCACAGGTTTGTCCAGTATAAGGTGACGCCTCGCCTTGCATACTAGCTAAACTGTCGAGGTGGACAATACCCTGTGCGCCACATCCAGAATCTAGTGAAAGTGTTAGGCACATCCTCCAATGAAGCTCCTTTTAATGAGAGCCCATGATGATGCTGCTCCTCTAGTTGAATGAGCCCTTAACCCTTCTGGGGGCCCTAGTCCACTGGCAGAATAAGCCGGGGAAATAGCTTCCACTACTGGCGGCCCTGCGCTGTGCGCTGCAAGAGCCCTGACTCACAATTTATTAGTTGTATAATTTTTTCATACAGTATTTCTTCATATTATTATATATTCAGCTTCTCTGTGCTTATCTCTGGGCTTCTGTGTCTCCAGGCCAAAGAGGCTCTGAGTGG